ACGTAAACTTAACGTTACTTAGGTACATACACTATACTACGTTATACACACACACACACACACACACACACACACACACACACACACACACACACACACACACACACACACACACACACAAATCATGTCACGCCCACTCCGAGTGACAGGTCCGGTTTCTGATTGGTCCACAGAGAGACGACAGGTAACCTCCCACCTGACCAATAACTGCAGCATCAAGTATAAAATAAAACTAATTAAATACAGGAGACGAAATGTATATAAAATAAAATGAATCATAATAAAGATAAAAGAGGGTTGGAGTCAGAGTCACGAGGCCAGGGGCTTCTGGGAGTCGGAGTCCTGAGGAGAAGAGACGCATTAGGAACCAGCAGAGTATATGTCTTTAGACTGAGGATTCTGGGATATGTAGTCTAACCTGCTTTGTGTCAGCGACCTCCTCCTCCTCAGCAGGACTCTCCTCCATCTTGTCCTCCTCCTCGGCCCCTCCCCCATCAGCCAAGCCCCCATCGGCCACACCCCCCTCCAGCCCATGCTCCGCCTCCCACTCTTGCAGAACCTCGTCCAGGTTGAACCTCCGTCTGTAGTTCACCAGGAAGTTCTTCACCTGCACCACCGACTTGTTTCCAATCACATCGGAGATAGCCTGGAAGTCCCGCCCATACTTCCTGATGGCTGTGTGTGATTGGACAAGAAAGAGGGTCACTGACCAATCACTGAGGGAGAGGGTTAATCAGTACAGGTGTTCCAGGTGTGTTTCAGGTGTTACCTTGTACAGCGAGCAGCTGCTCCTCCGTCGTCCAGCGGGTGTTAAACTTCTGATTCACCTGAAACAACAACAACAACATGAACAGCTGTTTTTACTCTACAGAAACCTGGTCTGGGTCCGATCAGCTGACCTCTAAACAGCTGGGTCGCAAGTTGACGTTCAGTGTGTTGCCGGGGGCATATAAGGATTTATCCACCATGTTGAAAATGTTAAAAAAAATATGTCTTAAGAACACGGCGTGCGGAAATATACGGGTCGTGCTGCAGCTAGATGTGCCTGTCCTCTGTAAGAAGGTGTCGGCGACTGACATGCAAGGAAGAACGGCTGAGTGTCCACAGGCTGTTCCAACTTTAACAACTGTATTAACTTCCAGGGTAGTGAATTGAACATGCAATTGTAATTGGGTGTGTGGTATATTTTCATGCACGGACACGCATGTTCCACAACACACAAACTGAACAACACTCAATTTTCCGATCGCCACCAGCGTCCTTGCGATCTTGTTATAATAACAAGTGCACGTTACTGATGCAATATGGTTGAGACCATTCGGGCTTATTCTAGAGGGGTGCAAGGAATAGTCCAAGCAGTGGGGGAGTTTTATACAATATGTTTAAAAAACATAAATAAAAAGGTTTTAAAAAGTTATTGTTTAATGTTTTAAGGAGGTGACGCTACTCAGCCAATCAAATCGGTGCAGTCAGCACGATAGATTCAAACACACAGAGACGAGACAAGAGGAGAGAAACAGTCGGAGTAATTTCAAATGGCGGAAGGCAGACAGGGAAAACAGAGCATTTAATTACATTTTCTCTTACTGGACCTCTTTGAAATGCAATTGAATACCCCTGCATTATAGCAACAACAACAATAATAATAATAATAATAATAATAATAATAATAATAGCAATAATAATTGGGAGTAGGGGCGCGGCTGTTCTTATGTTCTCTGAGGGGAGGCTCACCTACCCACACTTTGAAAACCCCTGGTCCAGATCGAATAACAGCAATGCCAATCTCCTGAAGCACCTAAGTAATCCTACATACATTGGGCTATAAAACTAGTCGCCAAAGACCCCACCGTCTCAACCACCGGCAGTGACCCAGATGGAGCAACACCATCTAAACAGCCAAAAAACGATTTTTTTAAATCGCCACATGTCACCCATAGTCAACTAAACAGATTGATTGCCAGGTATGTTGTTGAGGACATGCTGCCCATCGCAACGGTCGAGTCTGTTGCATGCCTTCAGATAACTAGTCAGACAAAAAACAACACAAAAACTTGTATTTGTATTGTTATTATTTTTAAAGTAAATTAACTTGTTACTAGTTACTTTTA